TAAATGGATGTATGTATGGATGGATGTGTTGATGAATAGATTTATTGATGAATAAACGGACGGATGAATGGACGAATGGACAAATAAATGAGTGGTTTCATGCGTGGGTGGATAGGTGGGTGGATGGATGGATGGATGGATGGATGGATGGATGGATGGACACATGGATGGATGGGTGTATGGATTCATGAGTGGATGAGGGAATAGGAAAGAAGATGAAAGAATAGGTGGACTTCTATGTTGATAGAAAAGTAAAGATTAATTAGGTCATAGGTCATTTAAATCATCATTACTTTCTCCATCATAAGGTAGTAATGTTGGCATTTCTTCTGACGTTCCTCTTTCATCCCGTTCTAGATCTACAAGTTCACAGGACACTGAAGAGAGAAACAGAATATTGACAGACAATGAGAATGACCTGGATCTACCTGGAGGGGGGTCATGTCCACAGTGCATCAGAGCTCTACTGCTCAGAACTGCTTCTTCGGAATAAAAGCATTTTTGCACCAAAAAAGCTTTGCTCTGCACCACGGAGCACTCTTAGACCCTTTCACCTTTCTTCTCCTCTCTCCTTCCCCCTTTACTTCTGCTAACCCTGATTCTACACATTGCTGACTCTGTATCCTAAAGCTATTCATGCATCTCTTTGACTACGTTTTTCTGTTCCTGACCACTACCATCTCTGCATTTCTGTTTTTTCTTCCCAGGTGATGTTCTTTACCTCTTGACTCCATTACCTCCCTTTTTATTCATTGAACTCACCTCCTCTTTGTCTTTCCTATACCTAGTATTTCATTCTTCCCGTGCAAACCAGGGGAGTAAGATTAAAATTATCTCTCTCTTCCCAAACTCCAAGCTGGTAGTGTTTAGATTCCATATACATTTAGATAAAATGAAGCCCACTTAGGCAACTCCATTTGGTGCCCCAACCTACAATTTTTTTTTCTGTCCTTAAATTCTACATCAGGGGACCGTCCACTAAGGCACTTAGCCCTCCTTTCCCCCTTGCCTTTCACATACGTGGGGAAGAGAGGCAGAGAATGATGAATATTTGTATTGAAAAAGAGAAAGGGACGTGTCTCTTTTCCACAGCCAGACAAATAGATTTAATGAGCTGATTAGTCATTTAAGCCACAACAACCATCCCCATCATCCGCCAGCAGGTCAGGGAGATCTTCGCAATTGCCTCCATTGGTCCTGTGGAGTTTCTTGCTTACAGAGAAACACGAAAACAACCAACCAGACATGGTGACCACAAAACAGACCTTTGTGAGATCATGCTGATTTCTGGTGTTCAGCACTCAGGTGAGCTTTCTTGAAAAAAGGTACAGTGCTCCAAGGACCTCACCTAAGATCTCACACACCCTTGCTCTTCCTCTATTCCTTCACATTTCCACTCAGACTCAGTCACCTCCTTTCTCCTGCACATTTTTCTGTCACCACACACTGTTGCTTCTATGCCATGAAGGATCGATTGGTCATCTCCTTGAGGCCCTGACTTCCTTCTTGGTCTTTTACTTCATTGCCTTTCACTACTCTTTATCACTTTTCCTACTCGTGGCTCTGTTTGTCTTTCTAGCTCAGTCCTGATCACTTGCATCACATATGGCAAGTCCCAGACCTACCATTTCTCTGCTCTACCCTGCTCTTGCCATCAAAATATGTTCGTCGGATGACAGTCTCCTATCACAGAGCCCTGATCCACACCCCAGGGCATCTACATACTTTCTTGGGTCTCCTGCGATCCAGGTGATCCTGGCTGCCCTGAACCCCTGTAAATCCCACATGGTCATTGCCACAGTGAGTCCATCCACTTGCTTGAACAATTTCAACTGGTAAAAGACTCATATACACTTCAGATAAAAATACATCTTGTTTGCCAAAATTTGTTGAAAAATTATGTGACATAATACAAAATATTTGACAAAAATTATCATTTAGATTTGAGAGCAGTGGACGGGAAGGACTGTGTTTCTTTTGAGGGTTTTCCAAAGTTAGGCACAAAATAATTCATTACGAAGAGAATAATCATTAGTTTTTATTCTCTAGAGGAGATAAAGTGAGTGTAGGTATACATTCCAAGTCTTTATTATTAATAGGTGTGAAAGACAAGCCATGTCTTAGGCATGTTTGTATTAGAATATGCACTTAGAAACATTTATGTGACTCATGGGATTCCAGATACACTAAATGTTTGACTGTGGAGAATGTTCAGAGTTTAACACATCGGGATACACCAGTTCTGAATTCAGCCACCTGACACCTCGTAGTCCAGGACTGACAATCCCTCTTCCTTACCTGCCCCAGACCCCAATGAGGAGCTCGAGACTTCCTGAGGCTCTTCTCCATCACCAGGTTCACAACAGGCTTTGCTGTCCTCTTCAGAAAGGAATGAAATCTCATGAGCATCTCAATTAGTGACCAAAAGGAAATCACCCCAAGAAAATCATAAGACAACCAAGAGAGCCTGAGAAACTGGAATGGCCCACTCTGCAAAACAATCTGACTGAAGTTAGCTTTGCTTCAGTGGCTTTCACTGGAGACCGAAAACGATTCTCCTATCAGGGGAGATTTGGCTTTTCCTACACCTCGTTCTCTTTCCAAATCCTCTCCCTTCATTCAATTCTGTAGGTCGTTATCGATCTCTGCCTCTGTGACTCTCTGCTGATGTTTCTTGGATCCTCTCTTTCTCCTGGTGAGTTTCTCTTTTCTTCTCTGTTCCTACAATGTTTTCTCTTGCTTTCTATGATACTGCTCTTTCTTTCCTATCCTTTGGCTCTCAATTGTTCTTTCCAGGTTCCTCTAAAGAAAGGCCTTCCTGAGACAGTAAATTTTACGCAGGATTTAACCAGAGTTGAGAGGAAATTGAAGGGAAGTGGAACATGAAGAAAGCTATGAATTAAGCATGTGAGAAGGCTCTGATATGAAAGAGAAATTTAACAATTAAAATTATAGGGGAAGACCACATTGAGGTACCTTCTCACACCTGTAAGAATAGCTGTTATCAACAGGATAAGAAATAAGTGTTGGAGAGTATGCAGAGAAAAATTTGCTGGTGGGACTGCAAATTGGTGTAGCCACTATGGAAAACAGTATGGAGGTTCCTCAAAAAACTACGAATTGATCTACCATATGATCCAGTAATCCCTCTACTGTATATTTACTCCAAAGACTTTAAAACTCATATCCGAAAAAGATATTTGCACATCAATGTTCATAGCAGTATTATTCACGGTGGCCAGGACATGGAAGTAACCAAAGTGTCCTACAACAGACAATTGGATAAAGAAGCTGTGGTACGTACACACAATAGAATATTACTCAGCCATAAGAAAAGATGAAATACTGCCATTTCCAACAATGTGAATGGACCTTGAAATAATCATGCTAAATGAAATAAGCCAGACAGAAAAAGTTGAAACCCACATGATATCACTTATATGTGAGATATAAACCTAAAAGCAACAAATGATCAGGACAAACAAACAGAGACTCATGGACATGGATAACAGACTAGTGTTTACCAGTGTGTAGGGGGAAGGTAGATAGGGTAAAAGGGGTCAAATATATGGTGGCAGAAAGAAATCTAACTATGGGCGGTGAGCACACAATGCAATATATATATTCCTTACTGCTAAATTGTACACCTGAAAATTACTGGATTTTGTTAAGAAATGTCACCATAAAAAAAAAAAAGAAAGAAAGACTTACAAGAAAAAAAAATTATTGGGGAAGAAGGTTTATACTATCTTGAATAGTGCAGGTGGTGGGAATGGGAAAGTGGCCAGGTGGCTCACTGTGGATGACCTTGGATGCCGCTGAAAGAAACTTTTATTTAATCACTAGTGTTTTAAGAAGCTAGGTAGGAAAACAATATAATATAATTTCATTTTCAAATGCCCCATCTAGTTGAAATGCAAATAAGTCATTTGATGGGAGCAAGATTAGCAGGAAGAGATGAGCAGGTGGCTGTTGCTCTGAGAACCATGACGGAAATCTAAATTACGGACTTGGCCTTGGGGAAGTGACAGTAGGATAGGTGGAGAACACTGTGAATGAGAAATGACAATGGTAAGTGAGAAATAAGAATGTATTTGTGGGCGAATAGAGACATGGATGACTCCCAGGATTCTAACTTAACCATCATCCCTCACTGAGAGAATGCCGAGCGGGTTAGATCTAGCTTGAGCAATGAAAATGCTGCTTTTAGTTCTGGATGTGCTAAGTTCAAGGTTCTCAAAAAATTCAAGTGTACATCTCTATCACAACCCTGGTTCTCAGATCCATGGACAAATGGACTCTGCAATAATCTGGGTGGAGATTTGGTCTTTGCAATCACTGGAATCCTCAGAAAGAGTCCTGTCATGATCTGAGCATTTTGCAAGGGCCACTTTGAGGATTACGGCCAGTTTCATCTGAAAACTCAGAGCTAATGTTGTCAACCCTTGCCCAAAGATGATTATTCCCAATACCCTTACCTCAAACCTACTGTGTCTCAATCTATTCCTCTCTCCCTTTATCCTCTTTCACACTCAATCTACTTCCATCCATTCTGCTTTAACTCTGTTACATCTCTCTGACTTTATCCAGTTCTCAGCATTTAATTTCCTCTCCATCTTTCTCTTTCCATAATGTACTCCTCTCAGTTTTTGTCTCGGATCCTTAAAAGATGTTTCAGCTTTATCTCTCCTCAGCTGAGTCTTACGCTACTTTCCTTTCTATCTGTTTCTCTCACTTTATGTTGACCTGCTGTCTGCCAATATTGTTCCAACTCTTGTCTCTCTGTGATTTCATCCTCCAGGTTCCCCTCTCTCATCAGCTCCAAAACTCTCCTCCTGGACTTTGACTCTGGGACCAGGGGCCTCCACCTGGCTAGCTCTGTAATGAAGGTCCCCCATGTGAACCTCACATGTCGCATTATTTCCAAGTGCCTCCTAATTCTTCTGGGAAATAAATTGAAATATATCTCTACCCCAACCTGGAATGGTAGGATTGCGTGTTCCTTTTAAAAATCTATTAATTTATGGACCTTGTCCTGTATTACCCCCTGTCTACCTTTTCCAGTTTCTCTTTTTATGTTTTATATTTTTTATCAGTGGATGCTATGTCTACTCAGGAGCTCAGATTCCTTTCTCATGGCTTCTCTCACATCTGTGAGCAGGTAAGGGCAGGTAGGAGGAGCGGAGCTGGCAGAGGCCTACCGTAGGAGACATGACACAGTCTTTGCTCCCATGAAGACTAAACAAAGATCCAACACAGAATCTGAGTTACATGACAGTTACCTTGTCCGTCCTGGGGCAGTAAGTTGGGTCTCTCTTCTAACCCTCTTACATTATTTCTTTGGAGAGGTGAGTGTTCACGGCACACTGAATAGGGTGACAAGATAATGGCAGAACTCAGTCTTCAAGCTGAACTCTGATGTTCAAGCACCAAAGACCCCACCTGAAACCCAACAGAGACTTGTTCCCCTTTTTTCCGAGATGCACACATCTTAAGTAAAAAACAGCTGTGTGACTAATGGAATAGTCATAATATGAAACATTTTTACCAGGGCAGAAAGTCCCCTTGAGCTTTGCGTTCCAGTCAGTTACTACACGTGTAACCAGGTACTGCATTGAATTCTCTCACCGCTAATAAGTTCTTTCTTTGGGGTACTGTACTTGTCTGTAGTGATGCTCATACATATAGGATCACACAGCATATACCCTGTGGCTGGCTTCTTTTACTCAACATAATGTTTTGGGGATTCACCCATGTTATTACATATACCAGTAGTCCATTCCTTTTTATTGCTGATTATTCCACTCTATCGCAATATCATGGATTCATTATTTACTCTCCCGTTGATGGGCATCTTCTTGTTGCCAGATTTTAGTTATTAGAAAGAACGCTACTATAAACCTTAATGGTTTATAGTAGAGTGAACTGGCTGAGTTAAGGGCTAGATTAAGTTTATAAGAGACTGCCAAAGAGTTTTCCAAAATGGTTGTGAGTTGACATTCTGAGCAGCACAAGATACGCAGGAGTTCTAGTTGCTTTATATTCTCACCAATATTTGGTGTTGTCGGTCTTTTTAATTTTAACAACTCCGGTGCATGGATGGTAAGCTGCTGTGATTTTAAATTACCATTTCCCTGATGATTAATGACATTGTGCATTATGTTTTTATTCTTATCTTTTTTCATATCTTCTGCAGTAAAGTGTCTGCTCAAGACTTTTGTCCATTTTTGAATTGTTTGTGTGTCTTTTTATTGTTTGTTCATTGGAATTCTCTATATAGTCTGGGTACAACCTTTTGAGAGATATGTGTATCACAATATTTTCACCCAATCTATGATTTGTATTTTTTAATCTTAATTTTGATTTGAATAAGGAGTTTTTAATTTTGTGAACTATAATTTACCAAGATTTTTTTAATGAGCCATGATTTTTGTAACATATAATAAATTATTGCATACCTAAGTTGCAAAGATCCTCTACTGTGTTTTCTTCTAGAAGCTTTATAGTTTTAGCCTGGACTGTTAGATTTGTTATCTACCTTGAATTATTCTTTGTGGAAGTGGGAGTGAAGGTTTATATATGTCCATGTTTTTTCCAATTCTTTTGCAGTCTGCTCACAGCTCATGCTACTTCTTTCCATTTCTCACATTTCTACTTCTAGTCATGTTCCCATTGTAGGCTCTGCCCTAAGAACTGTTTGAGCACCCTTGATTCTGAGGGCATGTCTCTCCTTGGCCACTCCTGTCACTTTGTGTTTCTGTCTCTCCCTTTCCCAGTGAGGCTTCTACCTTTTCCCTTTTGAGTTGACTTTTTCCCTTCCAGCCTTCTCTGTACTAAGGTATTACAGCATTCTACCCTCCATGTCTCTTTGTGCCCTCTGTCCTTGGCCAAAGAAACTAGATCCTTTTTTCTTGGTAAAGAAACGTCTCCTTCCCTCAGACTCTGGTCTGCTCCTCTACCCTCATTCATGGCTCTTTGAGACCCCCTTTCTGAATTTTGAACAGGTGACCCAACCTTACTCCCTTGCCATGTGGGCTACCATCACTCAGAGTCATCCAGGCATATGTTGGAGAGTCAGTCAACCTTATCTGCTTGTTCAGATTCTTGGGCACATTCATTTGTCATTCCCTTGGTTTCTACAGTACTATTTGGATCAAGAGATGACTCTTCTTCCCTTATCCTCATCTGCTGTCCATCACTGAGGTGCTCTGGGATTCTTTCTCTAGGTTGGGTGTCACCTGGATCACATTAGAAAGGTTGAAGAATTTGTTTTCCCTTCTCTTCATGATAAATGTAATTTACTCTGATAATTATTACTCAACTTTCCACCACCCACTCTAATTCCCCCTACTTTTAGTAGGAGATGAATCTCTAAATATATTTTATATGCTTTGTATATTTTAATGTATATTTTAGATTTTTAGCTGTTTGTCTTTATACAAAAAAATATAATTATTAAAATAGATCCAAATTTTATATGACTGTATTAACATACTTAAAAATATATAACACCTGTGATATACATTCAAATAAAGGATAGATATTAACAGCATTCTATAATGCTGATTATCTTCTTATGGTTTGCTTACATTGGCTATTTCCAAGAAAAAAGAAGTCAACATTTAACAAATAAATAAATTTGTCATAGATCATTTGGCCTGAGGATCAAGACCTTTTCTTGGGATCGAAGGCTGTTTCATTCACTGCTACTCTAGCCTGGAAAATAATTTTTCTTCAGTTGGTCACTGAGGAGAAAAATCTCAAAATGTCAAGCACTGATTAAACATCTAGTTCTTGGAGTCAGATATACATTGACAATATACAACATATGGCAATTACATTGTGCCACGAATTATTCTCAGAGCTTCACGTAAATTAAGTCCCTTAATTTTCACAACCATCTTACTTTAGATATAGATATGGATATAGATTTATTGGTGAGGAAACTGAAACACAGAAAGGAAGTAACTTGCCCAAGTAAGTGAGTAGTAGAGCCAAGACTTGAAGCTTGACAGTGGGGGCTCCAAATCTTTGCTTTCAACTGGTATGGAAAAAAGTTCAGAGTCCTATATATGCCAATTCCAGTTGTATGACCTGCACACATCAGTAACTTTCCACCCTCACACCTCCGTTTCTTTTCCTGAAAATGGGAATAACAGAACCCTAACGATAGATTGTAATGAGAATTCGATGTGATGCTACTTGTTAAAGGATATCTGGTTTATCGTAACTTGATGGAGATCACAATGTTCAGTATTAATGTCTTATGTATTATAATTTAATGATTAATTATCAGTAATAATATGAGTGGAAGGATGATTGAAAAGTAGAATCGGTGGCTATTGATGACAGTAGTATATAGTTTATATTTGGGCATTAAATGTGTTCATTCACATAATGTGCTGACCTATGCCTAGTAGTCTGTGAAAGTTAGGTGTTACTATCGTCATTGTTAAAGTTATTAATGCCCTTTATTCTCTTCTCCCCTTTTTACTCCTTTCCTTTTCTACACAGTGCCACACCTTCCATATTCTCTTCTACGCACAATTACTACTCACTCTTTTCTTCTCTTCTATTACAAGTAATATTTACCATAGTTCCTTCTTTGAACAAACCAAAGGCTTATTCTTTGGTCTTGTTATGTAGGACAAAACCCTTGCTCCTTCACAAATCTACTGAATTCCTAACTCACAATTACTGCAGTCAATTCTTCCCTAATTTCTCCTTCCTGTTCTCAGTACTATCTTCTCCCTAGGGTTCGTGTTCCATCTTCTTACTTGTTACATCTATGTGGCAATATTCTTGATTTCCATATCTGGTGGGTTAACTGGGAATCCATACAACACACCAAACTTTAGCTTCTCATCTCTTTCTTTTTTCTCCCCAGGTTACATTCTTCAACCAAGAGCTCAGTCCCTGATATCTGATTTTTTTCCTCCTAGTACATGAGGAAACAAGTTTCTGTCAAGTCATAATTACCTTGTTCACAGTTTAATTGGGAGTTGAGGCGATAATTTCTATCTTCATCATCAGTAATTGTGTAACTGAAGTTCTCAGGAATCACTGAGTAGGAAGGAAAAAGCAATTAGAGACCTCAAACAGTGACCAGGAGCTGCATCTCACAGTTCACTTCTAGGCACATTCTTGACTCCAGTAGTTCAGAGATAACCTTCCAGCTTTTAGGGAGTCCTGGGTTTCCATGTGTCCCAAAACACCTTCTCCAGTTTACTAAGAATATCATTTGCCACTCCGTCCACTAGGACCAGTGACTTGGTGTTACTCCTGGAATTCTACAGCTGTTCTACATAGAGATACACCTCTCAAGGTTTAAAAGGGATGGACAGCAGACAAGCTTTAACTCATGATTAACTCCCTTTAAAATGATCAGAGAACAGTAATAGCCAATTTAAAATAAATAATATATGGGGAATTTGTTTTGCAAATTCTACAGGTAACTGGGAATAGAAAAGAAACAGAGAGATTTCTTTGGAAGAAAGATAATGTTAAAGATAATGTTTACTTTAAAAAAAAAAGAAAAAAAAGAAACTCCAACATCTTTTAAGGATGGAGAATTTAAAAGAAAGGAAGAAAAGGGATCTTAGTTTAAAGAAGATATGGTTGCAGAGAAAGAGGCATAACACTAAAGAAAGAGCACTTCCCTAGGGTGAAATGGATGAGAGGGATCTAGGAAACAAAGGAAAGACACTTTACTTTCTCTATGTCACAAACAGTAAGTAAATATTTTCCAAGAGGTACAAACAGGAAGTGAATATTTTATGAAGGCACATACAGGAAGTGAATAAACCACAGCTATAACATTGACCCACCAAAATTCCATGGAGAGGATCAGAGCCCCTAAGATGTAGGTAGTAACTGCCATTCATACCCATGGCCTGGGGATATCCTGGTTACAAATAGTAACTTGAATTTCATGACCAAGTATTTGATTTCCATTATTTCTTTCTCTGACATAGATATACTATAATGTGGAAATGAAATAACTCATTATAATCATGACATGGTTTTCACAAATCAACATCCTATTTTTTTTTTTTAGAATTCTTTTACTTTTATAAAAATCCTTTATCATTTCTTTATTTCCCAAATAATAAACTTGAAATTCCTTGGCACATTATGTTAACTGCTCAAAATCTCATCCAACTCCTCTCTTTGAAATTAACGTCCAAGCGCTCCCACCAAAGCTCTATTTTTCAGCCACAGAATTTTTTAAGACCAGAGTTTCTTTCACACTTTATAGCTTTCACATACTGCCTCTCCCGATTGCATAGGCACATGCTGATTTTCTCTTGTGACTTTTCCATTCTTTGCTCAGTAAAGTGGGTTGGGACAGACTGCACTAAATGACAAATTTTCTAATACAAAAAAAATATCTTTTCATCTTTGAACATGTCTTCAAGTATCAGAAAGGACTTCCTCCTTTCCTACAAAAGAGTATAATTCATGTCTCCCCCAAAACAGTAGAGGCTAAAATCCTACGTCTCATTACACAGAATGCTGGTCCTGCCTGAAGAATCATTTGTGGGATTAATTGGTTAAGGTCTCTCACTCCCACAATGTGTCAGCTCCATGAGGACACAAGTCATGTGTGTTTTCTTCAACACTGTATTATGCCTGCTATGTTGTAGTCACTCAATAAAATAATTGCCAATGTTAAAAAATGAACAAATCATGAATAGAATGCATTTATTCCCCAAATGTCACTGAAAGTTATAATTACCATTTTGGAAGTTTCTGTAAATCTCATGTAAAGCAGGATAGGCCTTCATGTTAACTTTGCTGAACAACGCTTTCAGAACTCTCTTGTCAAATGTTCTTCTCCATTCACTGAGAACATTATACATCACTCTCTCCACTGGGATCAGATTTCTACAAGCTTCTATAAAATACTTAAAAATAATGAATGGACAATTTTGTAGATAGGCATTTATGGCTTATAGAAGACTCAGATCATATATAGACCATTTGTTCTCTTGTAAAATGTTAGAATGTTACATACGTTTAAATCACTTTTCAAATACTCTCCTCGCAAAAAAGAGACTATCATTTTGTGAACCTCACTCTGACATTGATGTACACATGACAGAGCAATTTTGAAGAATGAAAGTTGAATGTGGGGGCTTGAAGAGCCTGACCAGGATGCTTCAGGAGTGGCCCTGACTGGTAATGGGTGGCCATTGTGGTGACCGGACAGTAATCACTGCCATCCCCCTAGTATTGACCAGGCCTGAAGTCTCCAGGAAATCAGACAACCACTCTCCCCTGCTGTGAACCTGGCCAAAGGGCAAAGAATATTCACAAAGAGAAAGAGAAGTCTTGTCCTCAGTATCCCCAGGAAAACCCACCACTAATCTTTACCTGCATTCTAGGGCTCCAGAAATGTCTAAAGAACAAGAAGCAATTTAGAGAGAGAGCAGCAAGCACCTGCTTTCGAATCAATCCTATTGTAACACAAGTTCCCTATAAGTTTTAATAATCCCAGATCAAGTATGTAAAATGAGAGGGTCGTGTAATGAACATTATTCATTCACATATTTATCCTAATTATAGTTATCAGTGTTATAATGTATAAATATACCTAAGATGCTCTGCATCCGTGGATCATTCCCATTTCCAGTCCTTCCACATCTCCACCCCCAGACCCCGCCACCAACATTTACTACAGAGAAGAAAAGCTTTCTGTGATGCTGCTTCTCCTGTCACCTCCTAACTTATAGGAAGGTGAAGTGCCCCACTCATGGGAGGAACTTTGCTTGTTCACTGCGTCCTGATGTTTACAATAATGTAACAAGTAGTCATTTATCATGAGGAAACTCTGCTCACTTACTTGATACGATTGCTCAGAAATGAGGCCACGATCTCGGAGGCCCATGAGGATAGGGAATGTGTTTGTTATTGCACTTGCAATCTCCACCTTACTTTTTTTGAAGAGCTTGAAAATAAACTGCCCTTCTGAGTTCTGGTCCTCTGGGTTCTGGTCTCCAGCGGACATCCTGAGAAACAAACACACAATATCAAACACACTGAGTTTCCAAGAGGCTTGTGGTGGCAGAAACATTTTAAAAGTAAAATACAGTTAATGGAGAGCCAACGTGTGTAAAATAGAGCCAAAGTGTTCTTGTGGGGAAACCAGAATAAGTGGAATTTCTTTATTTATATAACAGTCAAGGGTGCCCTAGAAGAAAATACTGAGCTTAAGAAAGATTTGTACTTAGAACTGAAAATTTTCAGCAAGTGCTAATCAAAATTACTACTATAAAAAGACTATCACCTGAAACCCTTGCAGGCCCTGGAGAAATAATGAATGTTGGGTGAAAGATTCAAGGCCAAAAATAGAGGGGTTGTTCAAGAGGCAAACTATACAACGATGTGCTCCTACTCCCCCCTGACTGTGCCACACAGAACATCTGCATCCAGCCAGGACACTAGAGGGTTCCTCTTAAGAAAAATAAAAATGATTCATAAAAAAAGGTCTTCACCTTCATAAACTTGGGACACTCCCAGCAAAGCCCACAAGTTACCAGCCCACTTCATTAAATGGAGTTCCAACAAGCTTTTCAGTGCCTCACCCTTAAATATAAACAAATGATAACAGGCCACAGGCACTTGTGGAAACCAAACCTATGAAGGAGTAGAAACAAGATCAGCAAAGAACAAAAATGACACCAACTTTAACAGAAAGATTATAAGGAACAGAAGAGAGTTTCTGAAAAACAAGTATTGTCAGATTTTGGTCAAGATGGTGAAGTAGATAAACGCTGTGCTCGCCTCTTCTCACAACCGCATCAAAATGACAACTAAACTACAGAACAACCATAATTGAAAATCGCTTGAAGTCGAGCTGAACAGACGTTCTACAACTGGGGACATACAGAAGAGGCCACCTCGAGACTAGGGACAGAGACACAGAACAGGCTGGTCCTACGCTCAGCTATGGTGGTTGAGAATCAAGAGGGATTACTTGGCTGCAGAGATCCTTTCTAATGAGTGAGAGCTCCCAACCCCACACCAGGCTCCAAGCCCAGGGCTCCAGTGCTGGAAAGAGAAGTCCCCACAAATTCTG